TGTTCTCATGTTTCAAAACAAGAACCGAAAACTTCAATATAATTATTTGAATTAAATTGAATTAAAGTACCAAGCTCTGTTCCATCTTCAAGCGAAATTTTTTTTTTTTTGAATAACTAATTCTTGAAATTTACGCGTTTTGTAAGCATATTCATTATTGAAATTAAAATTACTATGGTATCGGCTAGAGCAATTATTTAAAAAAAGGGACGTAAGAGTTAATAATTTGTATCAATATCTCAGTTACATTCAAAGAGGTCAAGTCAGGGTAAGGTTGTGATGTCTAAATTCAAAGCGGAAGATGACATCGTCTAGTCTGGTTAAGTGTCTATGGAGATTTATTTATTTTTTTATTTTATTTATTTTTTAATTTTATTTTTTTTCCTGAATGGGTTTTGTGTATATAAAAAAAACTGTCATAATTCGCTAACATTTGTTTTTTTTTTTTTGACGACTTCATAAAGGTTTTTTTTTTTTTTTTTATTTTATTGGGTAGGGCTTTTAAACTTTTTATTTAAGACTATGGAGTTTAAAATTTATTATTTTATTGTTTGTTTGTTTTTTATGCTAATTATTCAATGCGAAAATTTGATGATGTCGGCAAAAAAACCGTTAACTCATGTCTATTATTTAAAAAATTTTCATTATTTAGAAACTTGATAATGTGTAGTTTTTCATGTAGGCATAAAGGGCATGGGTCATCCCAAGTTTTACAAGTTCTAGTTTTGTTTATAATTTTCCATTTTACTTTTGGTGTTTTATTCATTTCCTTCAAATGCCAAAAATATTTAGATAGAGATGTCTGATTTCTTTTAATAATATTATTGAAGGAGCACTTATGCTGCCTCCACCTGGTTTTAAATTCATTCTTCGTAGACCCAATGTATATCATATTAGTATTAGGACTCTCAATGGATGAGATAGTGCATTGGTATACGACAGATATTACGCGGCATATATTTTCCAATGGGCAGTCTTCTGGGTTTCTCCAATCACATAATGTTTCACTATTTTTGTCTAATTTCAGTGTAGGGTTTTTATTAATACTATTCTGGCACGGGGGTTATTCAGGATTTTATTATTGTGTTTTTTATTATACTTTCTAGATTTTCAGTGCAACTGTAAATTAATTTTAGGGTGTTTTTATTAAATATTTTACTAAGTCTACTATTTGTAGGAAAGTGTTTTTCAATTAAAGCTAGGAATTTATGTCCTAGCTTAATACTAACTATTTGGGTGAACGGAGGGGTATACCAAATGGTTTTTCATTTCCGGTTTTTCTTCTGGTTAGTACAATTGTTTCTATAATTGATGTTAGCATTTTTATATCCACTATTTTTTAGGGCTGCGTTATAAAAATTACTGTGTTGTTGGAATATTTCTTTATTAGCGGAGTTAATGCTGATTCTATGCCCTATTGATGAGTGTATATGCTTAATTATATATATATATATATATATATATATATATATAGAAAAGCTCAAAAAGTTAACAATAGTGAATATCTGGAAAACCGGATGTCAAAATCGCTACAACTGAAAGAAAGAGAAAAATTCTAAAACCAATAAGGAGAGAGTATTAAGTGACAAGAAATACGACAGAAAGGAGAAATAAACGCAACATTCTACACGTACGCATATGCGCAGAGCAGTACGCATGAGCGAGAGCACGCACACTCAGACACACTCTATGAAATAAAAAAAATATCAACGTTGCTCCAATAAAAAATGCATATATAAGAAACGAGCATCATAAATAGTCAAGTCATTATACACCTGAGGAGTGGACGGAATGCTTACTGGAGGCCACGATTCGAAATTATGTAGTCGGAATGCCGATGGTAATACCAATCAACTAAATGAAACACTTTATATTTGTATTAATCTCCTCTCTCTCATTCTCTCTCCCTATCTATCTATCTATATATATATATATATATATATATATATATATATATATATATATATATTTGGTTGGATTGATGTGAGTTTGAGACCCTGGGTTTTACGCTTTTGCGATCGTCAGACAAACTGATTAATTTTTTTTAAATTTTGGATTTATGTAGTTTGCGTGTATTGGTGTTATTATGGAAGTGGGGAGGGATCGTCGTCGTGATGTCACTCATGCTAACGCAAACATAGATGCATGTCCGTACACCCGTTGAGCTACACAGACACACATACACACGCGCTCGCCCGCCGGGGCTCATACAGACATAAACATATATGGACCGTATGGGACTTGATATATTTATGTGTATGCGTGCTGTTGTCTACATACATACGCATTTGGTTGCTGAAATTCAAAGATAGGATGTGTAGCGAATATTTCTCGTGAATGTATACATGTCAACAATCAGACCATTTTTCTATTCTTTCGCTGAATAATATTTCCTAACATGCACGTATGTACGTGTGATGGGGGTCTGTGTAAAATTATGATAGGTAAAAATTGCTATTATTCTTAATTTTTTAAGGCTGATTTGTTATTATTTTAAAGCTGGTTATTTGCTTGTTTTTGATGACTGCGTATATGTAACTGGTAGGAATTGCAGTTTGTAATCTTTATTGGTTTTTATATAATGGTATTAAATATGCTTCGGGGGGTAGTAGTTTAATTATAGTGGATTGATATGGTAATAGTAGATGTGATGTGGTAGTAATGGTGTTGGGGGATTGGTGGTAATGATAATATTAGTAGCTAATAGTTATTGTAAATTGGTAGAAGTGATTTAGTAATGGTGGTGGGAGAATGACAATAACAATAAATGTAATTATTGTGATGGTAGCTTGAACTAAATAGTGATTGTTGTTGGGTATTTTTTTTTTTTTATCCATTTGGTATAGATTCGGATAATAGGTACTTATTCTTATGCCTACATTTGGAGATTATCTCTGATCTTTTGTTTAGTAAATTCTTTTGCAGGGTATGGGATATTATTATTTATATACACATACTTTTCTCACACACACACACACACACACACAAACATATATATATATATATATATATATATATATATATATATATATATATATTGATAAAGGTTAACTCTTAGATATTATTATTATTTTATATCTATTTTAACTACATCCCATAATAGTATTTTTAATAAAATGCTGCAGTAGAGGAGTGAGTCTTGTTAATCATATATGTCCGTCTATAGCTCTTAGAATTGAGATATTCTTTGCTTACTTGACTCAGAACAAAAGAAATCTCTCTTCGACTCTCGAACCTTGCTAGTCGGTCTCTCATAAACAGATAATATGTATTTCTCCTGACAAAGAAAAAAAATGTCTTTTCAAACTAAACTGAGATGAATTCGGGCGCACCTTATTAATATCTTTTGAAGGTTACCATATCGATCCATGTTAAAGATGGACGTCGTTGTTAAGCCAGATTTTCTTTTACGGCATATGCTTCGAATCCATTTTTTTTTCTTCTCTTAGTTAATTCTTGTATTCTTGCTGCTTTTCTTGAATTTTCCTCCATTTATTTTTTTTTTATTTGTTACCTTTGAATACATTTGACGGGGTGGTGGCGATTTGGAAGAAAGTAAATTAAATGTGGGCTGGATGGGGCATATCGTACAGCATTGCCCAGGCCGACACAGTAAATCCCCAGGCGGCACTCCAAGACGTGACCTTCATGACTTGACCTTTCTTCAGCGATAATCAAGGCCTTGTTGACATTCTGACGTCGCGTTTCACCGTTGGGCAAAAAATCGTTCATGCGCAACGACCTAAACAATCCAATAATCCACTTGACCATCACACGCTGTTTAAAATAAAATGATCGCCAATTGATATGGCGGTGATAAGAAACACTGGGAAGCATTCGTTGTGTGACGAAGATCGATAAATATTCAATGACGCCCAGCGGTTTTTACTCGCGGAAACATCACTCCAAAATCGCATTCCATTCAAAACTAGATAGATAGATAGATAGATAGATAGATAGATAGATAGATAGATAAACGGAATGAGATGGATATATAGACAGATGTCAAACCAGTGAGATAGATAGATAGATAGATAGATAGATAGATAAACGGAATGAGATGTCAAACCAGTGAAATAGATAGATAGATAGATAGATAGATAAACGGAATGAGATGTCAAACCAGTGAGATAGATAGATATATAGATAGATAGATATATAGATAGATAGATAGATAAACGGAATGAGATGGATATAGAGACAGATGTCAAACCAGTGAGATAGATAGATAGATAGATAGATAGATAGATAGGCCCTTGTTCAAATTAAATAAAACAACCGCTTTAGTTTCCTTTCTTTCACCTTACGATCAGTTTTAGACCCATTAGAGTGACAGAGTGTAATCAATTTTTATTTTTTCCTTTGATTAGCTCATTTGCAGTGGTGGGCAGTAATATGAATTTTTTTTGGGGGGGGGGTATGATGAAATTTGCTTGGACTTATTGCGTCATCCGTGATTGCATCAGATTTTAACCACGACCAGACACTATTGTCTCGACTGACGATTAGTTGTCCTACCGACATTGTCTGCGATGAACGTCACTCCAAGGAAGCATATGAAAATTGTAACGCTGCACGAACACAATGGTAAGTCTTACCAGTGAACAAATCAAAGTACTATCGACTGGCTCGGAAACTCTCCTAATTTAAATCCAATCGAGAATCGGTGGTCAATCTGCAAGGAAAAATTTCCTGGAATGGATATACGAATTACTAACATATGCACTGGGCCATGTTTCATTGGAAAAATACAAAAAAGAAGTAAATAGTAACGGAATTATTGATTTTGTTTCAATTAATTTCAACAAGAGTGTAGATAGTGTTATACACCGTACCTATGAACACTAATGGGTACGTCCCAATCCTCATAAATAAGTTGGACGCTATTGTAAGTGGGGGGAAATATACTGTCTAAGTAGTCCACAAACAGCAGTGGTTTACCTAATCATACCGCTGGCGAGTATTGTATTTTGTTGATGTTATATACCGTACCTATGAAGACTAATGAGTATGTCCCAATCATCATAAATACGTTGGACATTATTGTAAGTGGGGATACAAAAACATGTCGCAGAGCCAAAAGGTGGATGCAGTGTCTTCTCGTCTGTCTTATCTTAAACTTAGTTAACCACAATTATTGATCCAAACTTACAACAGTGTTCTTGACACCAAAACAATACTTTCTTACTTACCATTCTTACTACTATGAGCTCGGATTTTTTACTTACCATTCTTACTACGAGGAGCTCAAATTGAGGAATCGTAGAGCCGAGTTCGAATTCCAGTCGAATAATGGATTCGACTGGAATTACTTACGTGCTTGAGAAAGGTATGAATCCTCTTCTTCTCCCCACTCCCAATTATGGATAAATAGCAAGACAGCCAAGGTTCTATAGCCTTGGATGGCATCTGGTCTAGGAGAAGGACAACTCTGAATTCAAAACCTGATCCTTCAGATTGGGATCGTGCAGTAGGCTAACAAGCTAGCCGCCTAAACTTGAAGAGGTTAAAAGTATACTGTTAATAGAAGCATCCTCTCACGAGTCTGTTCCACGGTGGGGTAATGGATAGCGGTTCGAATTGAGGAATCGGAGAGCCAATTCTAATTCCAGTCGAATCCATTACATTCACTTACGTGCTCATACCCTGGGAAAGGTAGGAATCCTCTTCTTCTCTCGACCCACCAACTATGGATCGAGTTCTATAGCCTTTGATGGCAACCTACTACGTGAAAAATATATTCCTCGTCAGACATGCATCGAAAGATACATGATCGCCTAAGCATGTATCACGCATGGCACATAACTGACAAATGTTATCGGTCGAGGGAGGTTGAATGAATGCCAATCTACAATTATTCTCTCTAAATGTTTTAAGAAATGGAGCCGTTAACTAAAACAAAACTGTTTGATCAACAGATGCCAAAATATCTCCACATAAAACAAAAACTTTTTTTTTCTACAAAATGTAGGAAAATTTCGGTTAATTAGTTTGACCCGCAGCTTTTTAAAAGAATTCTTACGTTTATTGCAAAGCACGGAAAAGAAGTGGCAAGAAAATTAAGATTTCTGACGAATTCTAAGAGGTGCTATTTTAAAATCAATACAAAAAAATGTTCGGATAAATTGCACCTTGATGTATAACTTAACCGACTTCATTTAGGTTTTTATCATTTTTGTTTTTATTTTGATCACTCTTGTTTTTAATTATCCCATATTGTATCAGCATTAGCTTTATCAGGAGACATATTGCATTATCCCGGATATGGATTTACCAGATATGCTTATGATATTAGTGCACTGTTATAGTGGAACACACCTATTCTATAGTTAATAGACTCTCCCACCTATAATAAGTAGGATTAGTAAGAGTATTGTGTCAGTCGCTCAGTGGGTCGGTCAGTCAGTCGATGTCGGACGACAGTTAGTCGGATACTAAAGTATCAGCGACCACCACTAGATTTCTCTGCGTTATACCTATTATATCAAGTTCCTAATGTTTTGTACGTCGAACCTATTTTAGGACCGACTTAGTTCAAATACAAGCCTCCACTGTGAAATCACTCCATGACATGCACTTACAATACATTTTTACCTAAATGAATTATTTCCTCTCTTAATTGCATTAAATCAAAATTATGGTCTGATTTATATTTCAATGAATGACTAATATGCCTCGTTTATAAAAATTATTATAAAATTCTCCCCAAAAATGGAGTATTGCTGCCATATATGGTCTGGAACCCCTTCTAATTGTCTCAAGGTCCTTGATAAAATCCAAAAACGGATATGCAAAGTAATTGGCCTTGATCTGGCATCTCGTCTGCAGTCACTCTCTCACAGACGTGCCGTTGCCTCCCTCTGTCTTTTTTACAAATACTTTCACGGTAACTGCTCTGATGAGCTGCTTTTCACTGGTTCCCAGACTACATGAATTTAAGCGTTCAACTAAGCTGGCATCTCGTTCTCACCCTTTACTGTCGAAACTGTTAAATGTAGCCGTCTCTTCTACTCCAATAGCTTCATGTCTCGCACTTCTCGCCTGTAGAACTGCCTCCAATTTCTTGTTTTCCTGATAGCTATAATCTCCAACTATTCAAGTGTAACGTCAATCGACGTCTCCAGATGCCCTGATCTATCCCCTAACCTTCTCTTCATCCTTTCATCTATCACTGCTCTTTGTTCTCATTACTACTCTGTAACCCCTTGCGTGCTAGTGGTTTCACGCCTTGCTTGGGGTTGAATGCTTAAAAAAAATGTAAAAAAAATGGCTAGTACAATTATTTTCTTAGACATAAGTGTACCAATCTAAGCCAGAAACAAAAAAAATCTTGAAATATTCGATCAGCAGTAACATTTATGTAATATTGGTGCATATAAATGCCAGAAAGAATCCTGGTACTAATGGCGAGAAAAGATCCTCAAAGAGTACCCTGATCTGCAGAAGAAAACGCTTCAATATTGACGGACTTGATTATAGTAACATTTTTGCCTAACTGAATTACTTCCCCTCTTAATTGCATTAAATCAAAGTTATGGTCAGAATTATATTTCAATGAATGACTAATATATCTTATCCACGGCTTCATTTATAAAATATTTGAAAATTTATATAGTAAACTAATAATAAGTAATCAAATGAGAAAAAGTAAAAACATCATTGTGAGGAGCTTCTTCAAATGAATAATTGTTTTATTGTTGGAGTCAGTCTCATATATATGAGAAGAAATACAACAAATATCAGTTATAATTTTACATTTAGAAACCTTGAAGCTACAAAGATACATTGACATTTCAGTGTATCTTGATGTATGACCAAGCCAACCTTATTTTTTATCATTTTTGTTTTTATTTTCATCACTCTTGTTTTTAATTATCCCATATTGTATCGGCATTAGCTATGTCAAGAGATATATTGCATGATCCCAGATGTAGATAATCTTATGAAATTAGTGCACTTTCAATACATTTTTGCCTAACTGAATTATTTCCTCTCTTAATTGCATTAAATCAAAATTATGGTCTGATTTATATTTCAATGAATGACTAATATGCCTCGTTTATAAAATGTTTGAAAACGTAAAAAAAATATGGCTAGTACAATTATTTTCTTAGACATAAGTGTACCAATCTAAGCCAGAAAAAAAAAATCTTGAAATATTCGATCAGCAGTAACATTTATGTAATATTGGTGCATATAAATGCCAGAAAGAATCCTGGTACTAATGGCGAGAAAGGATCCTCAAAGAGAGTACCCTGATCTGCAGAAGAAAACGCTTCAATATTGACGGACTTGATTGTAGTAACATTTTTTATTTCATCTTCGACGAGAAACACCTAAAATGGTTGCTTGCCGGGTTGGTAGTGATGAATTGTTGTCAGGCATGTTTTTGTTGTTTTTTTAGTTTTTAATTTGTTTTTTTTTTTACTGGGCTATGTTGTCAATTTTTTCGCCTATGGGATCTTGACAGTACCCAAATACCAAGAGATGCTAGAAAACAAATTGATATCAAATCTACCAGAAAATAGAAGAGAAATGGAAAGTTCTACAATGAGAATTGTTTCATATCACATTGATCACTTTTCATCGGACTCCAGGCCTAAATCCCATAGAGAAACGTAGAAAAATGATCGTAAGGGATGTGTACACTATCAACACTAAGTACTTCACCCTTGTTGAATTGAAATAGACTATTATTAATACATGAAAAAATCACTCTATAAACTTCCTAAAATGGTGATAGATTATTTATTTTTTACTGTTTATCAACCTTTTGCGGGTTTTTAAAAGCAAGAAAATATTTTCACACTGTAAGAATTTTTTTCGATAAGAATGATTTAGCAATATAAGTCTTACTAATTAACCCATAGCTGGGGGGGGAGAAGAGATGGATTCATGCCTTTACCAAGGATATTTCCGTGTAAGTCAATATAACGAACCCAAATGGAATTGAAACTTGGGTCTCCGAGTTCCAATTCCGAGCCGTTATCCATTACACCACTCGCACATCGAACCTGGTATTCTCAAGCGGTCACCAATCTCAGTACTGACCAGACTCGACGCTGCTTAACTACCTGACGCGGACCAGGGTTTCAACATGATATTGTCGTAAACTTGCTTATAGTTCGTGCTCTTCATGTTTTAAAGACAATTCATGCAGCTAGAAAGCATCAACATTCTTTCTGAATAATGCTTTGCTGTTTTTAAAATTACTGGATACCATTTTCATGTTTTATTCAATGACAAATTCTTACACTGTAGAATAAAATTTGCAGCTATTCAAAAAATACGTAAAAAATAAGTTGACGACCTTTTATAAAAATCTGGAATCACTTTTAAGCAAATTCCAGTAAAACTTTTAAAAATTCGTGGTGCTTATTTTCTTGATGGAGTAAAGTCTGAAAGCCTAATATTTAAGGCATACAACATCCTCAAAGAGAAATAGACCAATAGGAAATGCAAGCAAAGCAGAAAGAAAAGAAAGATAGAGTAATAGTAATATTAGAGAGAGGTAACAGATGTTATTCTTATATATGTCGTCTCACTTCAGGACGTGGGTGATCATGGCTCACCACAACTTCCTATACTTTGTAGCTCTTAGCAAGGTTTGTCTCTTCTCTATCTCTCTCAATTTCTGGTCTGCTCTTTATTTTACACAAGCTCCTTAGGTACGTTAATCGCTACCTTCCTCTGTCAATCTTTTTTGCAGTCTTGTTCACCAAATACAAGAACCAAGAGCCACTCAAGATAGATGGTAACTGAATGAGATGGAGTTCAAGAATGAAACAGACAGTCATTACTTAGTGTTGATCTCAGTGTCCCCTTTTATATTTAAAAAGATAGATAGATAGATAGATATATAGATAGATAGATAGATAGATAGATAGATATGAACAGACTGGAATAGATAGATAGATAGATAGATAGATAGAAAGAATAAGTTTATCACATCGAACGTAGTCGGGATTATCGTCTCATTAATCCACATGATACTCTCCATGTCTACATAGCATATGTTGCACAAGACCAACATACGCTTTTAAATTAAAGATAAAAAATTATTTATTGAAAAAAGTTTGAACAAAGTAACTACAAACAAAATGTTTCTTTTTTTCTCTCGTCTGCGAGCCGCAATGATGGAGAAAGCATTACCTCGAACCATCGCCAGTGAGAAACGCTGCAAGAGCCACTCCGTTTCGCGAGGCTCATCCCTTTATTCGAGACGCAATCGCGCCAATCCTCCGAAGGAACACCATCGAACAAGGGCCAATAACCCCTGAAAAATCTATCAGCAAGAGAAGAATATTTAACTATTTTTTCATTTCTGCGTTCCGATCAAATTACCGACCGAAAATACATATATCTATGTTCGAAGTGCGACTTCAGTTTCGTTGTTCTACCAACTCATCAGGCATGAAATATTACTTATGATTTTTTAAAAAAGTAGGGAGATGTATAGTTATTAATATATAATCCTGAGCGCTGTCTAACCACATTGAGCACTGTTTTGTTTACACCTTGAAATCAATTTAGTAAATATTTATTTGCTTACCTGTGTATGCACGCTGAGGCGCGCATATACGGTTGTCTATATCTAGTTATTTGATTTACCCACCTCAAAACAGCTAGCTAGATAGCTAGCTAGCTAGCTAGCTAGATAGATAGATAGATAGATAGATAGGAAAGGTCTGATTAAGATAGATAGATAGATAGATAGATAGATAGATAGATAGATAGATAGATAGATAGATAGGAACGGTCTGATTAAGATAGATAGATAGATAGATAGATAGATAGATAGATAGATAGATAGATAGATATGTTCTGATTAAGAACAGATAGATAGATAGATAGATAGATAGATAGAAGAACTTTGTAAACATTATTTGGGTAATACTAATTATATTGTGAAAACATTGACTTACATAATAGAACCAGACACAGAGAAAATCAATATTTAAACGTTACTTTTTCGTAGTTAATATTCTTTACATCACGATTGGTTAATATAAAAATCTAGCGATATTTATTCTTTCCATGAAATCTTCCTCTAGAGAAATATCGTATAATCGCAATGATTTCGTTGTCCAATGTCATTTCACTGATTAATATTTTTCTGTGATGAAAGCCCAGAAGCCTTTTACGTTGTAATTAATGTCTCATCATTTGAAGTTAATCATTTCTTACATCGCAAGAATACAGCCGTGTAGTTGATGACTTTTACATGTTCGTTTGGCTATAAATGAAATGAACTGAAAATATTGGACGTTCAAAAATTTTTTGAACAAAATATGTCGAAATATATTACCAGAATGCCAACGAGGATACATATTTTCTAATTGTAAAAAAAAAAAAAAATAGAAAATAGTTTTCTCTTGTATGTCCTGGGTAAGGCGATAAAATACATCCGCGTCCTGGGTATGACGATAAACTACATCCGCCGTCCTGGGTATGACGATGAAATACATCCGTGTCCTCGGTATGATGATAAACTACATCCGCTATCATGGGTATGACGATAAAGTACATCTGCGTCCTGGGTATGACGATGAAATACATCTGCGTCCAGTATGACCATAAACTACATTAGCGTCCTGGGTAAGACTATAAACTACATCTGCGTCCTGGGTATGACGATAAATTACATCCGCGTCCTGGGTAAGGCGATAAACTACATTTACGTCCTGAGTATGACGAAGAACTACATCCGCGTACTGGGTATGACGATAAACTACATCTGCGTTCTGGGTATTACGATGACCTACATTCGCGTCCTGCGTATGACGATAAACTACATCCGCGTCCTGGCTAAGGTGATAAACTACATTCGCGTCCTGGGTAAGACGATAAACTACATCCACGTCCTGGGTATGACGATAAACTACATCCGCGTCCTGGGTATGACGATAAACTATATCTGCGTCCTTGGTAAGGCGATAAACTACATCCGCGTCCTGGGTAAGACGATAAACTACATCCGCGTCCTGGGTATGACGATAAACTACATCCACGTCCTGGGTAAGACGATAAACTACGTACAACAGCAAGGAGGTTTTGAGGAGCTTGGAACCACTTCTTAATTGCTGGTGTTCTCACGTCCACCCTGACCCGGTTTGGTAGCTCCTATCAGGGTCCTTGCTATGGTTAAATACTTAACTCCAAATGGGGTCAAATCACAATGAAAGTCTAAAAATAGATATTTGTTTGGAAAAATTATTACCGGCAATTCATTATTACCAGCAGAATATTTGGGGAAAAACACCAACAATAAAAATCTTGCCAACATTAAATAACCCATTTAGGTTGATATGACGTAAAATTAAACAAACCAAACCAACTAAAACAACATGTGTTATTTTTACCCAGTAAGTGTTTGACAATGTATACTAAATGCCAACAGTTTGAGGCAAGCGTTTGAATTTGAAAATTGATGCTTGTGTGCTTTTTTTCAAAAATCAATTTGCTAGCTTACCTCGCCCTGGAGAGGTTTTTTCTTCCTGAAGAATTTTCCAATATATCAAATAACAACGATAAAGAAATTAACCTTTTACTGCATGGAGTTTCCTTAAATTTTTACCTATTTTTGCCTCATCTACCTCGCTGACTAATGGTAATCTTAGAACTGGCGAAATTTCAAATTTTACGTAACCCCTCTGTAAACAAATTGAATAGCATTCACTAAGAGGTTAAATAGTTTTAGCATCTTAGCTTAATATGAGTTAATTAAACCAAATAATGCATGGAACTTACTAATTATTAAATTCAGAAGGTATCCCAAAAATTTTACTTATATCGTGCACTAGCAGTAGATCCCGGCGTTGCCCGGGGATGTAACAGTAAGAGATAGATCAAGTATCGACTATCATAAAGACTGAAAAATAAAATTCACAAAGATTATTGTTTAAGGTTGACGGACACGCATGTCTTAATTAGTTTTTTTTGTTTTTTTTACAAATTGGTCAAACCCAAACTCAAACAAAAGCATTGTTTTCAATCGTTATGGGTCTCTACCGATTGAATAGAATTTTATTATAAACAATTGTCTTGTAAATGGAATTTTTAAAGCATTCTGAATGTAAAAAAATAAAGAAAAAAAGTGTGCAAGACAATAAGAAACACTACCTGCCAAAAAAAAAAGTGAAGTTTTGTTGAAATCAGTTAAAAATGTAGGAAATCCGATCCCATATACAAACGAACACAGACACACACACACACACACAAACAACCTGAGTTCTATAATAAGTATAACTCGATATGAGTTGTCCCTCTTTCATTTTTGCGATGCCTATTAATTGTGTTTTCAAATTGATTTCGTGCAGAAACAATTGTGTTTTTCCAATTTTTGCGCTGTTAGAATCATCGCAAGGTAATTTTACGTAGTCCTGTGAAGTTTTGTTGAAATCGGTTGAAAAATGTAGGAAATCCGACCCAATATATAAACGTACAGTCACACACATGCACACACATACACACACAACCTGGGTTTTATAATAAGTATGAAACAGGAGTATTTTTTGTAAGCATTCCGGACTTTAGCGTGATATGCTACGATGACTGAAGAACAGAAACGAAGTCTGAAAAACTAAAGATAAACCCAAAATGGAGTTTCATGCCTAAATTCTTCCTTTCGGAGTTTAGAACAGCATTTACTTTTAAAAATTATATTTAACATTAAATTATAGGTCTGTTACATATTAATTTTTCTAGACTATATTTTTTTCCCAACGATCGATGTTCGAATTCAGGTGAATGCCACGATAATGAATTTTGGTTTCCAAACTAAGCAGGCCTTTCCTATGGCGATAAAAATGACGATAGGCTTTCGACGATACCTGAAAGTATTGTTACTCTATCGCTATTTCCATGGCAAATGTTCTGACGATCTGCATTCCTTACTTTCACTAGTCCTGGCCTTCTCAGCCAAAATCCGCCATATCTTATACACTTTGAAGAAGCATCCTCATTTCCCTGAGTATTCCGTTATTAAGAAGGAAATTCCATTCGGACATTAAACTCTTCAAGTTTATGGTTAAGGGTTACCTTTCCTACATATTTTCAGAAGCTGCACTTCTTACCTCTTCCTACACTGACACTCATGCAACAATCTCAATTAGTAAAGCCTCTAACCTGAGTGGCTCTTGGGTGTTGTATTGAGTAAACTATTAGTAAAGAAAACCATTTTTCGAATACAGTTTCTCTAATTTTACCTTAAGAAACTGATAAATATCGATAAAAGCCAGTGGATATTTCCTCTGTGAGTTACTATCCAAGCCGAACTAAATACTGTTCTACAGAAGGATGCTGAGAATACGAAGTGAGTAACGAAGATGTTTTAAGGAAAATGGGAACAAAAAAGACGTTTATAATGAGCATAAAATTGAAATTTCTCGAGCACATAATGAGGAAAGATGGCTTGGGGAATTTGTCACTCACATGGCGTATTGATGTCAAGATATCCAGTTTGTGTAAATGGAGTGCGGTAAAAGGGTCTGGGATAGAGAAAAGGCAAACCTTACTAAGAGCTACAAAGGATAGGAAGTTATGAACAGTCCTGATCTCACCCTTCCTGAAGGGACATGGCAGATAGAATAAGAAGAAGAAGAAGAAGAAGGATTTCCCTATATATAATTAAGTATTACACATCTACTTTCCCTCGTCAACGCGATGTTTATCCTTTCTTCTGATTTATTTGAAAGACTAGCAGTAGAACTCGATGTAACAGTAAGAAATAGATCAAGTATCGACCATCATAAAGATTGAAAAATAAAATTGACATGGATTATTGTTTAAGGTTGACGGACACGCATGTCTTAATTAGTTTTTTTTGTTGTTGTTTTTTGGGGCTTTTTACGAATTGGTCAAACCCAAACTCAAACAAAAACATTGTTTTCAATCGTTACCGATTGAATAGAATTTTATTATAAACAATTGTCTTGTAAATGGAATTTTTAAAGCATTCTGAATGTAAAAATAAAGAAAAAAGTGTGCAAGACAATAAGA